AGCACCCCATGCATCCCAAGCACCCCATGCATCCCAAGCACCCCAGGCATCCCAAACACCCCAAGCACCCTGGGAACCCCAGGCAACCTGGGCACCCCAGGCACCCGAGCAGGGCAGTCCTCATCCTCTGCCACACGGGGAGGACACAGGGGACCGGGGCAGATCCCGGGGGACACGCGCTGACCCCCCGCAGGGCCTCAGCGTAGGAGCTCATGTCCGTCAGGATCACCAGCACGTGCTTCTCGCACTGGTAGGCGAGGAACTCAGCGGTGGTCAGGGCCAGGCGGGGGGTTATGATCCGCTCGATCCTGAGAGGGGGACAGGGTGGACACCCCCAGATCCCAATTCCCATCCCCACAGAGCATCCCCGGAGCCCGGCAGGCGCCCGCCTGGCGCTGAGCCGCACAGGCTCCCTGCAGCATGCCAGGCTGTCGGCAGGGGTGACCGGCCACCCCCGGGGACCTCAGCTCTCGGGGTCCCCGAGCTGGGACTGGGCGATGGCCGGGGAGGAGGAGGGAGGCACCCGCTGCCCACCCAGGGCATCGGCTCCCAGCCGCTGCGGAAAAGGATGGGGACCCAAAAGCTGGCCGGCTTCGGTGCCACCTCCCCTGCCTGTTTGCTGCCCACTGGGCTGCCCGCTGGCCAGAGCCCAGGACGGCTGCCCCAGCCCCACCAAGGGGGTCCCCCAGTCTCGCCAAGGGGTCCCCCAGCCCTGCCCAGGGGGCCCCCCAGCCCAGCAGCATGCGGGGCAGGGCACACATGGGCACAGTTCGGAGCGTGCCTGGCAGAGCCCAGCCTGTGCGCACCCCCCCTGCACCCCCAAGGTGCCCCTCACTGAGCCATGCTGGAGGCTGCTCCCCGTCCCAGCACAGGGGCAGGTTTGGGGGGTCCCAGAAGGGCACACGGAGGAGCCCAAGGGACTCAGCACCGTGCAGGATGGGAGGGGCCCCCCATGCTTCTGCAGCCCCCCCTCTGCTGCTCAGGGCAGGGCTCGCAGTGCCCAGGAGTGGGGCTGGCCCCTGGGGAGCAGAGGGACCCGCAGCCTTTGGGGTTCCCGTGCACAGCAGGACCCTAATGACCCCCAGCTGCACCCAGCACCAGCCCCTGTGCCTCGATCCACCCGAGACGGATCAAGTCCTCAGCTGGGGGGAGAGGAGAAAGGAGAAAGGAGGAGGAGGAGGAGGAGGAGGAGGAGGAGGAGGAGAGTCATGTGCCGGAGCCATGGGGCTGACTCACGTGGGGTCATTGGCCAGGTTGAGGAAGAGGCACACGTTCTCCATGGAGCCGTTCTCCTCGAAGTCAGACTTGAAGAAGCGAGCTGTCTCCATGTTCACCTGCCCACATGGGAGGAGAGGCCGGTCAGCACGGAGCGGGGTCGCTTCATGCATAGGGAAACTGAGGCAGGTGAGGGACGAGGCAGTGCAGGGAGGCGGCAGCAAGGCTGCCTACACGTCCTGTGCAATTTGGGCTCCCCGTCAGCAGGCTTTGCCGAGGTTGGCTGGGCTGTCCCATCCCGGCACCAACTCACCCCCATGGCAGCAAAGACGATGGCGAAGTTGTCCTCGTGGTAGTCCACCACGTCCTTGGACTTCTTCACCAGCCCGGCCTGCCGGCAGATCTGCGCGGCGATCTGCAGCGGGACAGGGACAGGCGGGCAGCACGGGGCCAGCGCCCACGGCCAAGTCCCCCCCAGAGGGGCCACAACCCCCCTGGGACCAGGATACGGCCCCCGCGGCAGCCAAGGGGCAGGGGGTGGAGGGGATGGAGATAGGACAAATAGGAACCAGCACAGGAGAGAGCATCCCAGGATGGGCACCGGCACCCCCAGCTGCTCACCCAGCCCCGCGGGTCAGGGGAGAGCGGCGTCTCCCCCCGGCTCCGTGCCCCCTCGCCGTGGCACAGTGCCCGTCGTGCCGGGCCCTGACTTGACCGTGGTCACCCTCCTCTGTCACTCCCGATCTGTCAGGGCTGGTTTTCCGTCCCATCGCATCACCGTCTGTGCCGGCGGGGGGGGGGAGCCGGGGCGGCGCTGCCCATCCACCACGCCGGTGCACCCGTGGATCAGGCTGGTATTTCCAGCACCCGGCACGGCCGCGCTCGCAGGGCCACGGGGTGGTCTGCAGCCCCCCCCTGCCCCACGGGCTTGGGGACCCCACGCTGGACAAGCCCAGATCACCCCTCCCCTCCCAGCGCAGCTCTTGGCATACTAGGGTTTGCTTTACCCCTCGCTGTGCAGATGGGGAAACTGAGGCACGAGGTAATGTGAGCTTCCCTTCTGCATGCACCAGCCCGTCCCCCTGCGTGGCTGGGGGGGCATCAGGGAACACAACAGCCACCCCAAAAGGCAGGTCTGGCCCGTCAGGGCGAGCAGAGCCGAGCAGGGAGCCAGAGCACAGCAGGGAGAGGAGGAGAGTCGTGGGAGACAGGCTCCAGCCCTCCCAACGCCCCCCACGCTGCCTCCTCCATCCTCCTCCTCCTCCTCCTCCTCCTGCTCCTGCTGGGGCTGTGCCGGGGGCTCGGTGCCCCATGGGGACCCACCTCATTGTGAGGGAGACCGGCAGCGGAGAAGATGGGGATCTTCTGGCCCCGGGCGATGCTGTTCATCACGTCGATGGGCGAGATCCCGGTCTGGATCATCTCCTCGGGGTAGATGCGGCCGTGGGGGTTGATGGGCTGGCCTGGAGCAGGAAAGGGAATGAGGCACCCGTGGGGCACCCCAAAATGGACGAATCGCCCCCACTGGTGCTAAAAATGAGGCATGAGCTTCTGGAGCTAAGGAAGAAGCACGCTCTTGGACCAGTGCAGCTACCCCGCACCAGCCCTGGGGTGGGATGGGCTCACCAGGCACCACCCCTGCACCCATACCCCCACCCAGGACACCCCAGTGGGGACAGATGGACCCCCCCAGGGAGCTTGGGCGGAGGCAGCACCGCGGGGCCGCTCTGGCCATCAGGGCACGGTGTTATCCCCAGATGCCGGCCGGCCCCCAAGACCCTCCAGCATCGCCCGTGGCTGGTAAAAGGAGCCGGCAAAGCAACGCCGTGCCCGGAGCCGTCACCGTTAATGTCCAGGAAGTCCTCGGCCATCACCGGGGGACCGCTGTCAATGGGTTTGGCGGAGCCGTTGAAGACCCGACCTGCAAGGAGAGAGCTGCTCGTCGCCTGCCGGACGCCCCAGCCGTGGAGGGCGACCCAGCCTGGCGCAGAGCCCTGCGAGCAGGCAGCTGCCTGTCCCGTGGCTGTGGGGCAGGGTTTCCATCCTGCTCCCGGTCCCCTGTGCGGGTGCAGGCAGCCCCGGGACAGGCAGCAGCGCTTCCGAGACCGAAGGTCTGCGCCGCTGCTGGGGTTTCCCTGCGAGCTCCCCACGGTGCGCGGGGGCACCCAGGGGGCTATCCCGCCCCCCTGGGCTTCCTCAGGAGTACACCCCAGCCATGGGGAAACCCGGGGAATGGAGAGCACCCATGGGTGGCACAGGACATCCCAGCTGCCTGGGGTGTCGCACAGGGGATGGGTGTCTGCGGGTGAGGAGCAGAGGACTTTGCACCCAGGGTGGCTGTAGGCACCCCCAGCCTCATGGCTGTGTCCCACAGCCCCCCATGCCGGGGGGACAAGGCGTTCCCCATGTCACTGCATGGGGCGGGCAAGGAGCGTGGCACCCAAGGGCTGGGTGACACCACAGCCCCCAGGGTGGGTGCCAGCACACGGGGTCAGGTCCCCAGAGACCCCCCCCCATGCCATCCGAGCCACCCACCATCACCTCCCCCTTGGGGTCCCCAGCTCCCGTGTAGGTGGGGGTGACACCAAGACCCCCTCCCCACACCAGCCCC